AAAAAGGGAGCGTGTATTTGGTGAGAATATCTTCATTTTTTTAATAACATACTGTGGGACATCGTTACTCAACCATTCCCTGATGCATGATAACTGACAGACAAAGGACATCTTAGGTCAGCATTAATCATCTCCATCATTGCATGAACCCACATTTGCAAATTCTTGTCTCAGTCAATCAGCCAGCACACTACCAAACTGCTTTTAGACCAACACAACAAAACAAGCTGCACGTTTCACTCATTCAGCGGCCATCCAGGAGGCTCAACTTTTTCCTGCTCAGTTTACTAATGATAAAACTGCTCAGTCTGCTCAAAGGTAGCCTTTGTTTTAAGGCAGTGATCCCTCAGGTCTCTGCATCCTCTACTGTATGGCAGCAGGGATGAATGTTGCATACGTTAAACAAACGGCAAAAAAAATATATTTTATTGAACAAAAACACAATATGTCCCTAAACAATAAAGACCACAAATTGGAGAGCCTCACGTTTGTCCTTAGCGGAATCAAATAACACTATACATTTCTGCTTTGTAAAAGATCAAGTCCATTATAACCGCCTGCCATACATTATGCCTACAGTAGGTTGTCAACTTAAAACCATGTATGCCAAGGAGAAATCAATCTGCTGGAGGCTTTCAAATGCAGGCACTGTTTGCTGACGGGGTTTCCTGACAGTATCACTACTGGGAAAGGTGACAGATACACTGAAGCTGAACCTTTCAACAGCACTATCTCGTGTGAGGGTTCTGCTTACCTTCTTTAAAGAACCTTCTTTGTAACTTTTTCCTTAAAACTCTAATTTCTACTTCTTTATCCTGACAATGCCCTTATTTGACTCTGTCTTTCAGTATAAGAAAATGTGAAAGCCAGGGTAAATGCACTTTAATCTAACTATTCATGTTTTTAATGGTTTGGCGTTTTTGTTTAGCTTAATGTTTTCCTTTCCATTCTTTTCTAGTTTTGTCTTTTCTAATTAGCAACTTAAACCCACAGCAGGAGAGAGCACTGCACTTTCCATTTAGGAAGATAAGGACGTCCTACTATTGGCCAACAAAGAAGAGCAGTGGAGGAATTTTCATTAGAATGAAGCCCCCCAAACGCTTCAAACCCCACTGTGAATTTACAATTGCACAAAAGAGGTGTCAGCAGGGATGCAAACTCATAACTGGAAGTGTCACCCTTAAAAAAGCCACTTTGGAGATGGAGTACAGTATGAGGCTTACTTCCTGCAATAGAATAAAAAAAAGCTGAAACATAAGCTTCCCTCTCAAGGCCACCCATTAAGAAAACACCTGTCCACTACTACTGAAACATCTCTTTCTTGTCACGTGGGGCGTCTGAAAGATGTCTTCAAGCTTTCATCAATGCCGTCTTGTTTTGGCCGAGTCCTCTGGACTCACTGAATGTGAGGGGAGAAAAGTGGAGAAAGCGGCTGCTGGCAACATGAGACGCTGGACCTGTCCATGCTGTCAGAGCGAAGTGCTGCTGCCTATTTCATATGGAAATCAATGCAGCAGAAAGCAGTCAATTGCCAAACAAGTGACTTTGGCTCTTACAGCTACACACAAAAATGTGAAAAAAACAAGGGGCTTTGGCAGTCGCATGGCAGCAAAAGGAAGGAATAAATAGAGTGAGGAATAAAGCCTTAGGCTTGTTAGAATTGAGGAATACTCAACATGATTTTTGGTGTGTGCCTCAACAAAGGCATGAATAAAATGTGGAAAAATAAAGTTCTCAAAATGTCATGAAACTACCACTGGGTAATTTAATTTATCTTTGCATAGTGAGTCACAGCTTTCCAACAGTTTATTGAAACATGCATCCAGAGCATCTGTAACCTTGACAGAGAGCTGCAGGAAAACAAAGGATTTGCTTTTGATTGGTGCCAACTGTGTTCTTGTTTCTAACGCAGTGTAACTGTTGCACAACGATGTAGGCTCCTGTGCCGATAAAAAGGCCGGCATGCGTGAGGTTTAGAGTGAATACTGCTCGTCAAGTCTGAGTGTCTTGCAGACTTTTAAGGTATGTTATTACAAATTCAAAAAAACAAAATAGATCTGATAAAATTGTGTACATGAACCCTCACACCTGAAGAAAAAACTGGCGGAACAACAATTACATAATGACATAATGATGGTTTCTTGTTTTTCTTTTTCATGTTCCCCATTGTACAACAATAAATACATATAACAGTAAAAAACAATTATTTGTAACACCATTAAAGTTGTAATGCTGCACCTAAGAGATCATTTACAATGGACTTGCTAATGATTCATGTAGAAAACAACTGAATTTACTGGCAAAACATGCTTGGAACAGCAAAAAAATGAGAGAAGATCGCTAATACAACACCAGGAAATCACCCCAGACTTTCACATTAGCAATTAGTGCCAGTGTAAGCATTCTGCGGCAGCATCAAGCTTAAGGGCTGGCTAATGTGTTACAGACCCTCATAAGAAGCAATTATCAGGTTAAGTGATTTTTATGTAAGATCATGCAGACTTTGTTTTTGCAAGAAAAAAAAAACATGATCATGGCAAAATCATCACTCATAATTCATTGAAATGTAAATCAAGGTACACATCTATTCACACATTAACTTTAAACCTTCTAGAAGCTCTTGGCACAACATTACATGGAGTAGCTGTTGACATCCTTGTACGTTAATCACAACAAATCCAAGCTAGCTAATGATCAACATGAGCATGCTGACTTGTAAGGAGCGTGCTGTTTAAGTCAAGTCATCATTTTGTAGCCTACACTTGAGTTGTCATCAGCAGGTGTCAGCTAAAAGTGTGAGTGCAGTTCATCAAAGGGAATGCTCAGTTCATTCTTTTTTTTAATGCTAGAGGAAACACAGTTCTACACTTTTGTGTGTGTGTGTGTGGGGGGGTATGGACAGTTCTCCTTCTCATTTCAAAATAAATGAATGAAAGCTCCAGCCATAACCTCACTCCTGATACACTTTTTTTCTTTGCTTCAAACTGCTCCTAAGGTAGAAATGGTTCCATTCTGCAGCAGCTGCAGTGTAATTAGTTGCTTGATTCACACTAAGGAGCTTACATACTAAGGGTTGAGCAAAAAGAAAGCAGATTACAATTTGAGAAGTAGGATCTAGCCGGGCTACATACACAACAGACAAACACACGTCTGTAATGTATAAAAAGCAGCGTCTGAGTAATTTTGTCTGTCTCTGTTTCACATCAGAAAACTTCAGTTCTTCCTCGAGCCGCAGGTTGATCTTGAGTCGGTGTTTTGCAGCGTAAAATCTGCTCCACTGAATGAGATTTGTACCAGTAGCTCTGAGTCCTCACAGATTGTCTGTAAGTCACATGCTCTTTTCTGTTACCTAGCAACAGTAAAGCTCAGGCAAAAGTTCCTCAAGAGAACTTCCAATCTGTCTGAGGAAGGCTTTGTGCTCAACCTTTAAAGTAATACTAAGTGGTCAAACATTTAGCTCTAGAGCAGGAATTACTTTGCCTATTGGAAACACAATAAATACATGAGGGGTTTGTTCGCTTACTGTTATAACATTGTGAATCATAAACAATGTTATTTACATGTGTTGCCATTTATCCTCTGATACTCGTATTTATATTTGTCTGGGCTAAATATGCAGAATTGTTTTTAATTGGCCAACAAACAAATTCAGCAGTTGAATGTTGAATGAGTTTGTTTTGATGAGCAACAATTGAACTTGGTGAGCCACCAAGCAGCACAACTACTCTGCATGTCCTCAATGAATCATTCAGCTGACAGTCTGTCTGAGCAAAAAAAAAAAAAAAAAATTAAGAAAAGTACAAAAATCTGAGTACTTACCCTCAGAGTCACATAGGGTAAAGCAGCATATGAAGATGAGAAAGAGTTGAAGTAGCAGTGCTCTCCACATTCTGGCTGGTCCGTCCAGCTCCGCTGTGCAGATGGAGGAGCTGTAGGGACTGGGGCTGAGATGCTGTTGCTTTCTTCTGTCTGTCTTTCTTGGCCCGCTAGTTGATGAAAGGGGCGTGCACAATGGCCAGGACAGCCGCTCCCCCAAGCCAGCCTCGGCCCTCCGGATAAATCCTTCTCGCCCTGGAATCTGCATAATGCCATGCAGCTCCGACTTGTCCCGAGTGCCAGTGATTTTTCACTCACAGCGGGCAATCGTCTTTGTTTATTTTGCCCTATACGAATTAGTGGGATGACCACCGGCGCTTTCGAGCGAAATCCCAATGGGGGAAAAAAAATATAAAACTATAAAAACATAAAAGTAGGAAAAGCTTTAGGCCTACATCGTGTCGTCCTGTAAACCCGGACGGCTCACATAATCCGAAAGTCTCTGGTTCAAATCCGTCTATGCAATCTTGTTATTTTTTTCCTTAAATGCTCCTACATCAAACTTGATAGCCTACATTTTTAATAAAAGTCCCCAAAAGTAATGGTCATGGTCAGTGTTAACATGATAAATGGTCCTAAATTAGGTTTTAAAATGCTTTGATTTACGAGAAATACATTATAGGTTACCATTGACTCCCCTTTTATTCAAGATATCAATAGGCTAATAGCATAAACCTTCACAAGTGATTTAACGTCATGAGAAAACTAAATTAAGAGATTTAAGGGAATACCTCAAAATCAATAATGATGCTTACTGATAAACGTCCATATCACATGAAGTAACGTGGCTTATTGTACAGTGAAATATTTAAGCAGCGCTGCATAAAAACGATTTCTATGTCCAACGTGTTCTGTCGAGAATGTCCTTCAAGGTGCGAGGGGCCGATCAGTAACTCAACAGCGTCACCATGCGGCCGAGTAGCGTACCTGCACGTCACCTGTTGCTGGTCAGACAGAGGAGAGTGAGGGCGGCTCATGCAGTGGTTGCTATGACGACCGAGCAACCGTAACTTTGTGGTGGTTTCTACGAAATGTTAAACCGAGCCTATAGAGAGACTAAAAGAAGAATGTATCTATAAAAAAAAAAAAACAGGAGAAACCTTACCCCATTCTTTATTTTCATAATGGCAACTCCACAAAGAAATGCAGAAAACTTCCTTCAGTTGGACGGCATCCCGACGGAGGTATGTAAAAGTTAGATAACAACGATAATCTCCCAGGGTACTTACTAGTTTAGCTTACTTTCTGGTTCGCTGTCTCAATCCAAATTAAATGTAGCCTAAATGTAAAGGCCTATTTCTTGCACACTCTTCCTCAACTTCAAATAACCGTTGTCAAAATACTTTCTCACGTCTCAACAAATAACTTGCCTAAAACAATTACATTTAGGTAAAATAAAAATAAAGCTATGGCGCTACTGTCGGTTGATAGCGTGTTCAGATGTCTACGCATGCTTTATATGAGGGACAAAAAATGACTAAAGTATAAATAAATCAATAAATAAATCAATAAATGTTAAGAGAAATGCATACAATAATGTCTAAATAAATAAATAATTAAATAAATGCATCAATAAATATATAAATGCTGAAAACAATACATCATTGAATAAATAATAAATACACTTTGTTAATGAAAAAGGCTATTTATATATTTATATATATTTATTCATTTATTAGCGTATTTCTACAGTTATATATGTATCAATGCATACATTTCCAAATTAATTGAATTATTAATTTATTTCCGTATTTTTATATTTACACATCTATTTATTTCTGTGTCCAGGTCGTAAGAGGAAAATTATATATGTAAATTTGCTTCTGTCTGTTTTTCAAAATTGACCAATCCTACTTCAGTAATGTTAGGACGGCCCATTTAAATTAACATATTTACTTTTCCTTGTACAACATGGACACAGAAATACATAAATAAATATATGAATATATTTATTTATATATTTATTGATGCATTTATTTAATTATTTATGTATTTGTACATTATTATATGCATTTCTCCCATTATTTATTAATTAATTAATTAATTAATTTATTGATACTCTAGTCATTTTTTGTCCCTCATAGCTTTAGGCTACTTGCCAATATGTTTACCGACTACAAAAATATCTGAATGTGATATATGTTATTCATTTTGATTTCATGCGTTTGTTCGTACTTCTACCTACCTTAAGGTTCACTTGCAGGAATAAATCTAGTAATTAGCTATACCCACTCAAGTGCTTTAGCCTCCTCTATTACCATCTCTACTTATTTGTACCTGAGAGTACAGTGATGTAAGAACTAGGAAGTTGCATATTTGTCATGTTTTTAATATTTACAGTCTATGGTTTTAACACAGGTGTTTTTTCCTTGTTTCCAGCATATGGACAGTTTTCAGAAGTCATTGGCAAAACTTCGAAGCCTTTCTGTGGATGATACAACAGAGACTGGGAAGCTGCAGTCCAGGATAGATGAACAATCAGGTTTGATCTGCATGCTGAAACAGAGAGCTGATGAGCTGCTTCTTCGATGTGAAGCCCTGCAGAAAATCAATTCAGAGCTGGAGGGCTGTATCGAAGATTGCCGTGCAGAACTGGACAGTGAAAGAAATAAAGCAGATCTAATGGAGAAGAGGTTTATGGATTTATATAGCAATAATCAAGCGATTATTGCTTTTATGACCGAGTACAAAAATCAAAATGGCCTGCTAAAGGTGGAAAACAAACAACTGCAGGCTGAAAATGAGACGCTTTTCTCACAAAAATTACAAGATAAAGAACTGCATGTTCAAAAACTGGTGCAAGAAATCAAACTGCTGAGCGAAAGCTTGACAAATAAGGAAAGTGAAAATCGGTAAGACGAATCCCCCTTTTTTATAATATGAGGATATGTTGTTTGTCTGTGATATTCAAAAATAAATCAAATTGTTGGACTGCTGCTTCTATTAAACGAGCACACTGAATACGTCTCTTTGGGCATCTGGAAATTGTAATCTTTTCAACATTTCAGAGACTAAGGGTTTGTTCCCTTTGCTAAAAACGTCAGATTCTGTCCCCCTAGCCTTTTTTTTTGGAACAAGCACAGACAACTTTAATTGTTTTACGTCTCTTTTTAAGGGAGAATTTAGCGGAGTGCCAGTCAAAACTCCAGGAACAAGCAACACAGCAACGAACAGAGGAGGCATTACTACTTGGTCAAGTGAATGCTGCTCATCAACTACAAAGAGACACTGTTGAGTTGTGCAAAGGTGAGTAAAGATAGTCTCTGAAGCACAACAAAATACAACAAGCACCTGTATTCTTATGACCTTTGTCACATTTGCAGAACTTGAGCTGCAGCTACAGAATGCTAGAGAGAAGCATGGTGTGACGGAAATCAGCATGAGTGAAAGCATAACACACCTCAATAGAGAGAAGGACAAATTATTGCAACTGTCTTATGAAAGAGGGAGATTGATACAGGTGATTGGATAATTTTTTTTATCACCTCACTAAGATTGCATGTCGGAGGAGATGAACAAATGTATAAGCATTTTTTTTTTTTAAATACAGGAGAAACAAGAGGAAATCCAGCAACTTGAGATGAAATTGAAAGAAGAGAAAAAAGCCAGGGCCAAGGCAGAGGACAGGTAAAGTGTGCACTGACAACACAATGCAGCTGTAAGAAATGTACTCAAGTATTTAAAGTATGTCTACATCACCTTAGGTTTCATAAGGAAGCAGACGCTGTGAATGGAGATTTAAAAGTGAAGTCTTTACAGGCTGCTCTGGACGAAGCCAACACAAAATATGGGCAGTTCAAAAAGGTCTGTTTAAGTCTGTGAGTGTTGTTGACTGATGTTGGGCTTGAGACATGCTTCACATAGTTTTTGTATCATTAATTTACAGGACTTTGAAGCTTACAAAGAACACAGCAGCAGCCTTCTAATACAAGAGAGGGAGCTGAATAAGAAACTTCGCCACATGATGGGCTAAACTTGAGCATTGTGTGAGTTACATTTCCATTCAAATAAAAAATATTTATCAAAATGCTTCTTTACTCAAAATGAAAACAATCACAGAGGACAAATTATAAGTATCAATTTTGTTTTTTTTATTGGATCTTCCCTTTTTGAGAGAAGTAGAACCACAGCATGAACATACTTAGCATGACATGTTAGAAGTTCCTCACATAAATTACACTGTACAAATCTCATAAAACCTTCCGAAGAGAGACGTTGGGTATTAGTTAATTGGTTATTTTCGGATTGCTGATGTTGACAGACACACAGAATACGTTGGGCTTGCCTGAAGAATCTTTTGCACACCACAAGCAACATCATAGTGTTTCAGACCCTGCAATGTTGGGGTCCATGATGCAAGAGGTGGAATCCAGGGGGTCCACAGCAGGATAGATACCAAGCTCAGCAATAGCACGGACAGCACAGTTGTTGCGTCCAAATGAGCAAAAGTTGTGGCAGGAGCAGGGTCAGTTAAATCATCAGCAGGCACATAGATAGCCTGTAGAAAGAGAGCATATGCACTAAGGATAATCAGGAAAAGTGAGACTGCTGACTGTGATTAGCATCTTGTATCCTCTTATTTGTACGGAGGTGATTGAGCCCTTCTTGGTGGTGGTAATTCTCTCCTGCATTGTTCCCATATCAGTGGCTAGAGTGGGCTGTTAACCAACAGCAGAGGGGATACGACTACAGTGGCCCTGAAGTGCAAAACACAACAACAAATAAGAAAACACAACGACAAATAAGAAAACACAACAAATAAGATGAACATACCGATGTTGACATGACGTCTGCGAACGTTAGCCAGCTAGCAGCTAGTTCTAAGTCCCCTGTCCCTAGCATACAAAACAGATCAAGCCATCTAGCAGCTATAGTCTGTCTGGATTAAGCCACAGTCAGTTCAAGGTAAAGAATGCTTATTTGTTTTCATCTGAAGGCAGCGTTGTCCACACAGTAGTATGCTTAGTATGCTCGGTAACATCTGACAGGGACATCTGTCTGTACACTGACTTAGTGGACTCATGTATACTGTCTAGTAGATAAAAAAAATGTCACTACAACCCACAAGAAACAGTTATCACAGAAAGAAGGCCCAGCAGAGGATGTACTTCCTGCGTCAGCTCAGGAAGTTCAACCTGCCCCAGGAGCAGCTGATCATGTTTTACACCGCCATCATCCAGTCTGTTACAGAACACTGTACGCAAAAACAACCTGTCAAAATAACAGTTTCTTCCCCCAGGCTGCCAGTCTGATGAACGCTAAACAGTCACAGAGTGCGTACAATGTTCTGTAATGCCTGCCAGAGGGGAGGAGTTTGAAAGGTTTGTGTCCGGGGTGTGAGGAGTCTGCAGTGATACTACCTGCCCATTTCCTGGCCCGGGACTGGTATAAGTCCTGGATGGGGGGCAGGTCGACACCAATGATTTTTTCTGCAGTCCTTAGAGTCCGTTGCAGTCTGTGTCTGTCCAGTTTGGTTGCAGATCCAAACCAGACAGTGATAGAGGTGCAGAGAACGGACTGGATGATGGTGGTGTAAAACATGATTAGCAGCTCCTGGGGCAGGTTGAACTTCCTGAGCTGACGCAGGAAGTGCATCCTCTGCTGGGCCTTCTTTCTGATTGTGTCTATGAGGAATGTTCACTTCAGGTCTCGAGAGATTGTGGATCCCAGGAACCTGAAGGAGTCCACAGTAGACACTGTGCTGTTCAGAATGGTGAGGGGGGTGAGTGAAGGGGGGCTTCTCCTGAAGTCCACTGTCATCTCCACAATCTTGAGCGGGTTCAGCTCCAGATAGTTCTAACTGCACCAGAGAGCCAGCTGTTCCACCTTCCATCTGGAAGCAGACTCGTCTCCGTCCTCGATGAGACCGATGACGGTGGTGTCGTCTGCAAAGTTCAGGAGTTGCACAGAAGGGTCCCCTGAGGTGCAATCATTTGTGTAAAGGGAGAAGAGTAGTGGGGAGAGAACACACCCCTGGGGGGCCCAGCGCTGTTTGTCCGGGTGCTCTATGTAGTGCTCCCCAGCCTCACCTGCTGTCTCCTGTCAGTCAGGAAGTTGGTAATCCACTGACAGGTGGAGGCCGGCACTGTGAGCTGGGTGATTTTGTGTTGGAGGATATCCGGGATGATGGTGTTGAAAGCCGAGCTGAAGTCCACAAACAGGATCCTAGCATAGGTCCCTGGGGAGTGATGCAGGATGTAGTTCAGACCCATGTTGATATATATACTTTGTCTGATCTGCTTCAAATGTCACAGGTATGATCAGGTTTTGGCCTCTGAATACATTGACATAACAAAATTCAACTGTTACCATAGCGCCCCCTACTGCAAGGACTATTTACTATAAAATTTCAGATTTCCATCAAATTTCACATGAACGATGTCAGGACTGGCCTGATCACATCTGACCCATAGACTAAAAATAATGGACGGGACAAGGTCCCCGGTCTAGTGAAGCTTTTCTTTTTAGAGCTCCCCCTGCTGACTGGCTGCAGTATAGGTCATAAACCCCGCCTCCTCAATGATAACAGATGGGATGTGGCTCAAACTGTAAAGCTAAAATACTCGTCACATAATTTTTTTCCAAACATAAACTCTGCTGTGATCATTAGTTATTATCACCCTACATTGTGTTCAAGTGCTCATTTTTCTGTGAAGTTTGTTTTAAATAAGTTATTTGAGGTTGAAAAACGGGATTTTACGTCATATTTGACGATGATTGACAGCCGCCAATCTTGCGTAGCTCTCTTTGTGAATAGCAAAAGTTACGTAGTGAAGGAAAGCCGAGACGCCATTGAATTTTTCCGTTCAGTTTTTTCGTCTTTTTTGAGCTGGCAAAATTAGTTGTTCTGCAGTAAACTGTTCTAACCGACCTGTTGGGAGCTAAGGGATCTTTGCAGTTTTTTTGGTAAGTAAAAAGTGTGATTTATGTGTCATTGGTTGGTTAAAGTCGTTATCTAGCTAGCTAACACAAAAGCAGTCTAAGTTAGCTGAAATGTTGTAAAGCTAGGTTACTTATCCGGCATGATTTATCTTTTTATTTTATTTTATGAGCAAACCTAATAACTGACATGCTATGTTTCTTGATATTGTTATGTTGTTATTGTGATTGAAATTGTATTTAAAACCAAGAATCGTAATAAAAATCCGCTCACAGATGCGGTTCATTGACTGTACAGTTATTTTATAGTAAAAATAAAAACGTCTGGTAAAGTCTCAAAAGTATCTAGGGCAAAAACAAAGTCACATAATTGTAATCTGGCCTGCATCATTACTAATGTGTACATGTTTACAGTCTGAGTGATAAGTGGGCTATACCGAGAGTAACAGGTTTAATTTCACCGTGCGGGCTGAAATTCATAATACTATATACGAGGGTAGAATATTTCTCTATGTATCTAGATAAAACTAAAGGTAAGATCTGATTTAATATAATTGTTACTGACAGAGACTAACCGAAACGAAGCTGCTGGTGTAAGGTCATTTCTACCACAGTGGATGAGCAGGGCATCTGGCACAGCTCTTAGTCCAAGCACAGGTGAAAAAAAAGGAGGTTCCTTCAAACTATGTGACCCCAGCCTGACCTCTGTAACAGGTGTGCAGACAAAGGTTGACATTAGTCATTTTTAGGTTCTGTTGACTGTAAAATGGAAAAGAAAACATCACCTTTCTATTTAACATTTAGCTGGTGTATGACTCTGTGTGATTTTTATTTTTAGAAGACTGTATTGTTAACAATAGCTTGTTCTGACAATCCTCTTATGAAACTTCAAAACAATCACAGGATATAAACTTTTAACAGATGATTTTAACTTACACTTCACCTCTGTGGAAGATGTCAGACCTGCTGCTTTTATCTCTTCTTTGCCTAAATGAAAATACAAAAAACAATTGATTTACTGTTAACTTAAATATATTAGAAAATCAGACATGAATCACATTGCAAACTATCAGTTTCTAACAAAATACAACATATCTTACCACCTGTAGTCTACGGTCTGTGGTGCTAACCTAGCTTAAATATAGAACGATTTCAGCAAAAACAAAGGACCCAGCAGCTCACGTATTTTCAATAATGATCAAAATAGAGGGATTTTTTAAAATAGTGTGTTTAAATATTAGACTTTGAATACGGCGGTTTGTTGTACTTACACATTTCTTCATCGTAGACCGGCAGAGCGCTGTCGGCGTAGCTGGTTCTGCGTAAGTCTTCAGGGCAGTACGCTAAGTGGGCGGGGCGTGTTACCAGGGCTCCTGCCCCCGGACCCTACTGCGCAGACTCTGGCTCCAAATGACGTCAAAATCGCAAGATGGAAGCGCCCCTAAGCGGCGTATTTTGGCTTCAAAAACGTTGAGTGGGAACAGCTACAGTGCACGCCCACTGATCTGACCTAATACAATTATGCTATTAACATTACGCCCGCTACTGGAAAGAGGCTGTACTACATCTCTAATACTTTGTCTGATCTGCTCCAAATTTCACAGGTATAACCAGGGTTGGTTTCTGAACACTGTCACAAAGCAATGATACATTTTAACCATAGCGCCCCCTACTGCAAACAATAAGTACTACCTCCCATAAACAATGTCAGATTTGCTCAAAATTTCACAGGTATAATCAGGGTTGGCCTCTGAACACTGTCACATAACAATAATAAATTGTAACCATAGCGCCCCCTACTGCAAGAACAAAGTACTACCTCCAATAAACAATGTTCAATGTGCTCCAAATTTCACAAGTGTCATCACAGTGCCAGCCTGAACTGCTCTACATAAATTATGATGTAATCTTCATTGTGTTACCAGTTCGAACTTGCCAGTGCAACAACTTTTACAAAAATCGATCTGCTGGCCTCCTCCTTGGCGCCATCTCGCTGCTGCTGCGTTCCACGCAGTCGCAACACACCCTGACATGCACAAAGTGGCAAATTGGCAAGTTTCAATTCACCCACCTAGCTGACAAGACCTTCCTTGT